CCCCTAACTTGCTAATTAATCAAACAAAATTAAAAAAAAAAAAAGAATTAAATTAGCAAAAAAAAGCTTATAATACAAGGTTAATCAAATTAATTACATGATTAAAGGACTAAGAAACCCAGAAATAGAGAGCAAGCAAATACAGAGCCAAAATGAAAAGAAGATATTTGACTTGTTCTATAAGCTGAGGAAGTTCTGCCACGAGCACGAGTTGCGACTCCTGTACCAANTTCTATTATTTATTTTTTATAAGATTAAGGACGCCCCTGGCGGCTAGAAATGAGGAAGATGCATCAAAACGATAATTAAGGAGATTAGATATTTGCATAATAGACCGAGCCCACATTAATGTTATCATATATGGTCAAACTGTCAAAGCCACCGAGGAAGCTATCTTTCAACTCATTTGGACGCGGCTCCTTTGACCTGATCGCAAGAATTTTAATATAAAACATGGTATTTTGAAAAAAATTAAATTAGAAGGAAATTATGATGTAAAATTTAAAAATTAATAAAAATATCTCATATGTTTATTTATTTATTAAATACTCCTATAATAAAATATTAAAAGTTAACAAAAACACCTTTAATCCATCTATTAAATACGGATAGCCGGCCACCACCGTCGAAGGGTGGTCAGAGTCACCGTATTGACGCATGACCAGCAAGATCTTGTTAGTCGTGCGCCAGTTAGATCTGACTATTGACAACCATATCTGGCCATATTTGGTCGTTAACGATGGCCAAATATACGGCCGTCGTTGATTACTGTCTACGGTCACTGATTGACGGCCACATCTTTGACTGTAGATCTAGCCTTTTTTGGCCAGATCCACCATGGATCTGACCGGAAAAGACTAGATCGGTGTACTACCAGTTAGATTCAACCGATAGTGTGTAATTACACTAGATTCTGGTTAACTTCCATTAGTCATGGCCAGAATCTGATAAATGTGGGTTGTTGGGGTGTTTTGTAATTGCTAAAAAAATTAGAGATGTTTAGAAATTAACAAATTTAAAGGTTTAAAAAAAATTAGATAATATTTTGAAAATAAGTCAATTTTACTGTTTAACTTTATTGAGAAAACTAACAATAAAATTTGGAAGAGTGTACGAGTATTAGACTTTTTTTCACCCAATAATAGTTTATAATACTTTTCTATCCCAAACGTTTCAAAATAAAATTTTATTACCGAAACTTTATAATCTGTTAATAGTTTCCGTTAACTACAATGGTAATTTTATTATTTTTATGTCATTGTCAATTACTATATACCCACTCTTTAAATATAAAACTACTAATATGCCCTCATATAATATAATTTAAGAATAAAATTTATTCTTCCCTTCTTTTATTTAAAAAAAAAAAAAACCCTTCTTTTCGTTTCTTTTATTTCTTTTTCGTTTTCTTCCATCTCTTCTCCTCTTCTCTTTCTTCTCCCTTTCATTAAAATTTTCTTCTCTTCTTCTTATATCAATTCTTCTCATTTTTTATTTTATTTTATTAATCATTTTCTTCTTAGTGTAGAATGTGTACTTACTCAAGATTAACATTTCCAGTATCATTTTTTTGTCACCAAACAAAGCCTCTCCAAAAACAATTTTCATCAAAATTCCCTTCTAAAACAAAAGTTTTCAATTTTCTCACCATCCAACCAAATCGGCAGGGGAAAGTTAGCTGGGTGGGGATTTTTAACGAATAGGTGGTGTGCAGGTTGGGCTGGGGAGTGAAAGGCGGTGACTGGTAGGGTTAATCCGACCAGAACAAACACAAGAACACTCCAAATAAACAATCAAACAACACTCAAACTTCAATACAAACTCCAGACTACTCCATCAACATAAAAAAAAAGCCACGGTAAGAAAATCTGAAAATACAGAACAACAATCACCCGAAAAAACAGAATAACAATCACGGCATTGCAGGTGGTAATTGGCAAGCAGGCGTGAAAGGTGTGTGGGTGGATTTTGAAGAGCAAGTGAGGGGTGTGGTGTGCGGTGAGAAGTGAAGTGGGTGGGTTGGTGCTGCTATGCGGGAGATGCGGGGACGGAAGGTGGTAAGGAAGTGAAGCGAGGAAATTGGAGGTGGGCGGAGTAGCGGAGGGGAGGTATTGGGAGGCGTAGTGAAGAGAGGAGAAGTGAGGGAGGACTGGTCGTTTTGGCTTTGGTTCGGACCTGAGAAAGAAAACATTAAGGAAAGAAAGAAGAAGGATGAAAGGCCAAAAGGGCACCAAAAAAAAAAAAAAAGGAAAGGAAGAGAACAGAATGAGAGAAGAAGGATGAAAAAAGGGGGGGAGGGGGAGGGGGAAGGGGGGAACACGTGGCAACCATTCAGCCCTACAATTACCTACATTCAAATTTAAAATTTTGATTTTTTTATATAAAATATCAATTTACCATTCTGTCCTTTGTTTTAACGAATTTTCGACCATATTCACAACGAAATTTACTAATAAAAATTTATCGTGGGTATTAAAATGTATTTTGAAACGTTATAGGTGAAAAAGTGCCGTTACGCCATTATTTAGATGGAAAAATATGATTACTCAAACATATATTTTATTAATTTTGATATTCTACTTATAAAAGATCAACAATTAACGTATTTTTGTTGTATATATAAATTAAATTCCATGTTCTTGTAATCTTAATGGATACATGCACAAGAGGATATTATCTTGAAAAGTTATTAAGAGAATAAAGAAAAGAATTCTTTACAGATTGGAATTATGACTTTAATACGTCTAAAGATTATTATCATATTAGAAAATATCACATGACATCAATGGCTTTTTCTGATAGATACTAGAAGAATCGAAGACTCAAACGTTGAAAAATATTATTAAAAGATTCAAAGAATGGGGATTCAATATATAATCAGGCAACTATATGAATGTTCTTTTCGGAGAATAAAAGCAAGCATATGACAATGGAATATATATCTAAACTTGATTATTGAACGAGTCATATTATAGCATATAATAAATGATTTCTTCATCTTTACAAATGTATAATGATCTCAGTTTGATGAATATCAAATGGCTTAGAATAAGTAAAAGTAATGTTTTTAGTGTGACATGCGGCCAGGGAGGGACGGAGCCTAAGGGTTAAGGAGGGCAGTTGATTCTCCTTAAGTTTTATTTTTTTTTTTTGACAAGTTTTACAAATTTGCCCCTAAAAGAAATGTAAATTACAAAAAAAACTTCAATCCATCAAATACCTAAACTCTCATTTTTTTCTTTTTGAGCTGTTAAAACTAAACTACTCTTTCTCTACTTACAAAACCTGTTCTTTCTTTATTGTCCATAACTAATTTAAAAACCTAAGTTTCAAGTTTTTTCCTAAATTTCTAATTCTTTATCCACACAAATACAGTTTTCTCCCACCTATTAAGCTGACAAGCCTTTTTTTTTTCTTCTTCAATTTGTTAGATAATACTAATACATTTTATATTTGTATTCTTTTATTTTGAAAGTTTAAGGTTAAATTATATATTAGGATTTAGGAAGATGAAATTGCCATTGAAACTACAAATTATTTTGAATTTTATGAAGAATTGTTTGTGAAATAGAATGATGAATCAATGGTTGAATGATAGCTTAGTTACGTATATAGAAAAAGATGTATTTGATAGTATTAATAATGAAGTCATTATGTAATACTTTCAAAATGTGAAATCCTTTCGAGGATAATTATAATGAAAATTTTATAAATATAATACTTGCACTTATTTTAATTTAAAATTGTATTGTTCTTTCAACTTTGACCCCCTATATTTCATTAATTTCTGGTTACATTCTTGAACATGTCATCTCTCTTTCTTCATTATGGCTCAGTTTAATGTGATTTTGCTTTTTTAATTATATGTTTTACTAAGCTTTATTCCGAATAATATTCTCTTCATAATAATTATTTTTAAACGTCCATCTCTCTCTGCTATCCTCGAAAACACCAATCCAACGGTCCATCCTCAATCTTCACCAATATCTAACAACAGCACTTACTAAGCAAAGGCAAAAGAAAAACGAAAATGACAGAGCCACCGAACGATTGCACACCAAATCTCTACACCGAATCATGTGATAAAATCCTGACAATGAATTAATATTAACTGATAATGAATTAACAGTCAGAATTTTATCACATCATTCGGTACATAAATTCGGTGTGACGCAACCTTCGATAACTATAACATTACTCAAACAAAAATCACCAGAGCTTAGAGAGAGAGAGAGAGAGAGAGAGAGAGAGAGAGAGAGAGAGAGAGAGAGAGAAGGAGAGGGAGAAACTTGTCTACTTGGCTAAGCTTGCGGAGCAGCTGAGAGATATCAGACTCTGCTATAAGGGTTCATTGTTATGATACGAATTAAAAACCATTGGTGTAGGAAATAGAGAAGCTCGTGGCGGAAGTGGTACGCTATGTCATTTTCAAAGCGCATCAGAACTCGGGATGTCCGATTAAGAGAGAGGAACTTGTTCACTTGGTTACGAAAAACTATTCTCAGTGTAATCTTCTTGCTTTTGTGATTAATGCGGCCAAAGAGAAGCTCTCAAGCGTTTTTGGCTATGAATTGAGAAAGCTTCAAAGGTCCCGTCCTGCCTCAGCAAACCTCGGCCGTCCTTCTCAAAACAGTGAGAATTTATTGCCTTTTTAATCTCATTATTATACTATCATGTTANTATTCAACATCATATTAATATACACAAAATTACGCTATAAATCCAAAATAAATATCTTAAAAAGCAAAAAACAAAATAATAAATTGATAAATGATAATAATAACATTAAAGAATAATACTAAACGTACAAACAAATTTTATAAAGATTATTGTACAAACTGATGTGATAGAAAATAGATGAAAAAGTGAATATAATGAGTTTGACTTTTTGCATTATTGAACATTAAAATGATAAATGATAATAATAGCATTATTGAACATTAAAATGAGGAAGAAATAACTTATAACAAAAATTAAAATACAAGTTGATTGGTACATAAATGTACAAGAAAGTACCACATGAACTTGACAAAGCCTCTGATGCAAGCAATGATGCTAGACATGTAAATAAATCTTACACAAATTTACATACAAAGTGATGTGACAGAAAATGAATGGAAGAATGAATACAAAAAATCAAATTTATCATATTCACTCTTTCATTTATTTTTTGTTCCATCACTTTATATAAATTTTTTTGTAAGATTTCGTAGTTTATTACCAGATTCGGCCAGTCGTGCATTGTTTCGATGGTTTCTGACTATCAGTCGGCGATGGTGGCCAGCAGTCGACTATCCTTTTGGGTGATTGAGATATTTTTGTTAATTTTTAAACTTTTATTATAGGGGTGTTTTAGCTAAATGCCCAAATCAACTAGTTATGGGTTGGCCGAGAGGTAAAGCCTTGGGGTCAAGGGGTTTGCTCCCCTTATAGTCTCAAGTTTGAATCACAAGAATGATTACTAATATTATTGGTTACGAAGCGTAGGGCTTATCCTGTTTTGGAAGCCTTATTCAGGGTCAAAAGACTAGTTAAGTTGCGTATGAGTTAACCTAGACACCCAGGAAAAAAAAAAAAAAATTCCCAAATGCCAATGATTACAATAAATAATCTAAATAATAATAACAATATTAAAAAGATGAAAATTCAGTAATTTTTATAATATACTACTAATTTATTCTTCCATACCAACCATATCAATATAAACAATTAAACACCTTATTTCAATTTAATAAAATATATTGTATATAACATTGTCAGTTACATGAACCAAACGCCCCTACGTCCTCTTATCAAAACAGCCGTCAGTGGCATAGCCTTTTCAGTCAGCGTAGTCACCCATGTGACCAATTTCCATCCAACGGCCACGTATTTCTCAAACCCATATAAACACGGCTCAGATATCACCTTCAATTAAAGCACCAAAAGTCTTCCCGGACCCCAAAACTCATTTTTAAACGTCCATATCTCTCTCTGCTATCCTCGAAAACACCAATCCAACGGTCCATCCTCAATCTTCACCAATATCTAACAACAGCACTTACTACGCAAAGGCAAAAGAAAAATCACCAGAGCTTAGAGACACGAGAGAGAGAGATGGAGAAGGAGAGGGAGAACCTTGTCTACTTGGCTAAACTTGCGGAGCAAGCTGAGAGATATCAGACTCTGCTATAAGGGTACATTGTTATGATACGAATTAAGAACCATTGGTGTAGGAAATAGAGAAGCTCGTGGCGGAAGTGGTACGCTATGTCATTTTCAAAGCGCATCAGAACTCGGGATGTCCGATTAAGAGAGAGGAACTTGTTCACTTGGTTACGAAAAACTATTCTCAGTGTAATCTTCCTGCTTTTGTGATTAATGCGGCCAAAGAGAAGCTCTCAAGCGTTTTTGGCTATGAATTGAGAGAGCTTCAAAGGTCCCGTCCTGCCTCAGCAAACCTCGGCCGTCCTTCTCAAAACAGTGAGAATTTACTGCCTTTTTAATCTCATTATTATACTATCACACCCTGCTGCTCGAAGTAGATTTACGTTCTATTGGATTTTCAAGAAATTTGTTAATTTTTTTCTTTTTCTTTTAAATTTAAAATTACTTATTCTACTTTGATTCTGGTATAATTACTGTATGGTTGGGTTTTTATTCTTTTTATTGGATATATCTTGTCACGTAAAATTTCATTTATGAGTGATGCAAGACCTATTAATGATCAGTAATTTACTTACATCCTTAAAAGAGACAGAGTGCTGGTGAATTTCATTGATTGGGTAGTGAGTTAGTGGATCATTGGTTCCACCAGTTAGTTGCTGTAAACGCTGGTGTTACAAGGCTGATTATCTTCCACTCTATACACTAGCAGCCCGCAGTTTTACTTTAAACAAGCCTGAGCTGGCCTCATCGCCACCTTGTGGCTGGTGGGTATATCATATATGGCATTCAATCAAGATACTTTTGGCTGCCATTTGAAAATGAAATCCTTGCAATATACTTGCAGAAATGGTCTTTCGTTCCTTTTTCTTTATTTTTTTGTTCAAAATTAGCGTGTAAGGTAATAGGGTAAGTTCTATCTTGGGTACATTCTCCCCAATGAGAGTTCTTTTCATATATTCCAATTAGGAAAAGTTAGAATTAAGTTATCTGGATGTTATAGTTTATATTATATGAGGCTATCTGCAGTTCTCTGGCATCTATCTTCTATTGGTTTATTCTTTTAATTTTGGTTATAACTGTAGCTCTGATGATGCACTGTCCAGGTGTTGCCGACCCAAAATCCTATATTCTTGTAAGTCAGCTACCGCCAGAGGTGTACAAGAAATATGTTGAAGATGTAAATACAGCACATCTAACTGGCTTTACGTTTGTTATAGTTAGTATTGTGCATCTTGCTGGAGGCAAAATCCCAGAAGGTAATTTTTTGGTATGGTTGTTCAGTAACCATAATTTCATTCATATAAGTTTAGTTAAAGCCAAGGGTCAAGATGAATGGTAGAAAGGTTAGATTCAAAGTCACCTTTTGTTGCGACAATCCCTTGGTTAAGGTCCATATGGTTTCATTTAGTTGTTATCCATTCGTTTAGTTGAAGTTCTTCCCTTCACATCATTTTGGCAAAGTTATCAATCAATGAGCAAGATATCACATTGTTATTGTCACCAGGAGAGGAGATTTTTGACTTTTACTAGGAATTGTGAGCCTGTGTCATGTAGTGCTTTTATACTTCTATAAGATAATTCATATTATTCTTGTTATGCTAAAAATCTTTGGCGTCATTTAAAGTGCACGGGATTGTGTGAAAATGATGTAAACCATCCGGTGTTTGGAAATATCAAGCAAGCTTTGGAGACACTGGTCCAGCAAAGGTTAGCATTGCCTTATGGGATGGACTCTATGTATTTGCAGTGTCTTTATCTGCAACAATTTCTTGCTCTGTACAGAATCTAAGCAGTTATCCATACTCCTTTATTTTTGTAGATATTTGCAGAAGGACAAGGTAAATGGCCCTGAAGGTAATACCATGTTTTATGAGCTTGCTGAGAGAGCTCTAGATGGACCAGTTAGAGAGAAAATAAAATAATACATATCACAGGTATTGGCTAGAGATGAGAATTTCAGTAACATTTTTGTGTCAAGCTTATGGCTCTATATTCTCACATCTACGTATTCAGTTCTCAGTTTCTTTCAAGATGTTACTTCTATTTGGTGACATTTTCTTTTTTATTAATATAAAGCTCTGATAGATGTACTTATGAAGGATTTGGCTGCTAGAAACCTATTGCTATCATAACTGTATAATTTCAAATGCCTAGGTTTAGGGGCTGCACTTACCTATTTACATCATAACACCAAAAACATTATTCCGCTTGCAATATCAAATCAATAGTTTTCTCATGGTAAAATAAATTGGCGGGGGACATTCTTGGATATTTCATAGAACCACCATAACAACCCTAAACATTTCACTCACTTGAACGTTAATGTTGGATTGCTTTCACGAAGATGCACTGAGATACAAGTTACATAATCTTCATGAGACAATATTAGGTTGGATTTGAGTTCATCTTTATGATTGCCTTTGCCGCAGACCCCTTGGTATTGTCACAGAAAAAGCAACTTTAGGATGACCATGCAAGTTTTCTTTTAATATCCTATAATGAGATTAAGTTTTTGTGTAACTTACTGATATGAAGGAAATTGCTGGTTTACAGATTGTAAATGTAAACAACAATGTTGTTCTTGATGATGCCGACTAGTGTCCTATTGCCAATTTTACTTAATGGGGGTATGTTTTGAAAGTTCAGTGGTTATTAAATGATGTTTGATTTTATTTCTGGAAGAAGTTCAGATTAAGATGTTTACTCTCATTTTGCAGACTTGGGATTTTGAAGTTTCTGGACTCTTGGAAAGGCTGATAAATACTAAATAGTATATAGGAGTTTGTGGTTGATGACAGTTCTGGCCGACTGGGGGAGGCAGCAGGTGAATTAGCAGTCCCACTTCAAAGCTTGAATATTATGAAAGATTGACCCGTTGGACTTGATATTTTATTAATTGTATTTAGATAATCCAGTAAAGAATTTTTTAAGAATAATACTATGCATACATCATTTTCATATAATATTTCTCATACAATATTATGTGATAAGATATGATTGGATAAAAGTTTAATTTTAACTTTAAATTAGTCAATAATATCTTGCCACATAATACTGTACGAGAAATATTGTATGAAAATGATGTAGTTGTAGTATTTCTCATTTTTTAATGGACAAAGTGAACACGTGATATTCTGCACTAATGTGATGCTTTTAGAGGTGAATGGTAGGAGTGGCGAAACCCGGTTAACCAGACTGGTTCGGCTCATTTTTTAACTGAACCAGAAAACCGGTTCAGGTGAAAATCGAACCGAAACCGAATCGATTTTTCACCTGAACCCGTTTGTAACCGAACCGAATCCAGTTTTTTTTTTTAAATAATTAATTTAAAATTCATGCCCGGGATATGGTATGTTAAATATCCAGCATCCAATTCATGTTAAAGTAAGGCACACAAACAATTTAGACTAATCAATATTGGCTTTATCACAGGTTACACTAATGAAACAAAGGACTACAACAAGCAAAATCCAAGAATATTTATATTGCCATGTAGCCTCATAATTAATCAGAAGTACGTATTTAGAGGACACATGAATGTGAAAAAAACAGAAAATATTGAATGTAACTCAGCGGCACAGCCAACAAAATTCGTACTAAAACCTTATGTTCACTTGAGGCTTTTTACAAACACCTTATGGACTACCCCAAAACCTTGTTTGTGCGTATATAATGAACTTGAATCACAACCAACAAGCAAAATACTACCACAGAACAATACACCTTACGCCCAGAAAAATTCATAAAAATATTAAATGATTAAGAATCAAAAGGAAGAAAGAATATGTTGTTTTCAAGGAGGCTTTGCTGGTTGCTGCACTTCGTACGGATCTGTGGGTGATGACGGTCGACGGTCATAGAAGATTGCACGGTAGTCATTTAGCAACAGCAAGAAACAGAGAAAGAGTCGAAGACACTAGAGAAGAAGAGAGGCAGAGAGCTCAATTTGAGAGAGTTAGGGTTTTTACTTTGCAGTTTAGAATGAACTGAAATAAAAAAATTCTCAGGGTGCATTGGTTTCGATACTATTTAAGATAATATTTTGAAAAAAAAGTAAAATCGGCGGTTATTATACCTAGGATGTAGAAGTTAATAAAAATACCATATAGGTTTGTTTATTTATTAAATATCTCTATAATAAAATATTAAAAATTAACAAAAACACCTTTATCCACCAGTTAAATGCCAACAGCTGGTCACCATCGTCGGAGGTTGGTTGGAGTCACCGTATCGGCGCACGATATTTTGGATCTAATCGGTCATGTGTCGATATGACCTTTTCCTGTTAGAGTCACGATGGATCTGACCAGAAAATATCAGATCTACAACTAGATATGGCCATTGACTATCAGATCTGGTTGCATTTCGTTGTCAACAACCAAAGATCTGACATTTTCTGGCCAAAAAAGACTAGATCGGCACACTACTGATTAGATCCAGCCAGTAGTGCATTAATATACTAGATTTTAGTCAGCTTCCAGCTGTGGTGGCCGGAATCTGACAAATGTGGGTTGTTAGGGTGTTTTTGTCCATTTCTAAAAAAATTTTGTAGGGTGTTTAGTTAAATTAATAAATCTAAGGGGTTTAAAAAGAATAGAATAATATTTTGAGAATAAGGAAATAAATATGTGTATTTTGGATAAAATAAGGAATAGAGTAGTGAAAAATTGTGTGCCAAAGGGGCCCTAAATTATTTTTGTAAAATCCGATTCCAGTTAACGGGTTTGCACAATAGGTTGTTCGGTTCAACCATTACCCCAAACCGGTTCCCAAAACTTGATTATATCATGTAATAAATAATTGATTACTAGAGAAAGAAGCAAGGAGTAAATAAATATTCACGCTTGAGAAGAAAACTTGATTAATGAATGAGTCATATTATAGCATATAATAAATGTTAGTAGACCTTGTGTTATATGATTACTGTTAATTTCTTTCTTCATTATGGCTCTGTTTAATGTGATTTTGCTTTTTTAATTATATGTTTTACTAAGCTCTATTCCAAATAATATTCTCTGAATAATAATTATGTTGAAGCTGGGGTGATTAAAAGTCCCCTGATGATAAATCGTCAAATTTCACCAACACTCTTCATCTAAACTCAACTTTAGAGATAATTTTATAAACGTTAAAGATTCAAAGATACACACTTTCATAAATAGATTGTTAACCAATACAATACTTTGAAGAAATATGCACAAAAACCAACCATATAAAATACAATTGGATATATATATATATACACAATTAATAACAAATGATTCCCATAAAAAAGAAAAAGAAAAATGAACTCCTTCACAAATAAAATCTACCTTAATTACAACGAAATTTCCAAGATTTTATTAATCTATAAACAGACTACAGCTACAGAACTAAGAAACCAAGGAGAAGAGAGCACGCGAAGACAAAACCAAAATGAAAAGAAGATATATGACTTGTTCTAAAAGCTGAAGAAGTTTTGCCTCGAGCTCGAGTTGCGATTCCTGTACCAGTTCCTGAAGACCTCTTTTTTATGAAAATTTTAAGCTTCCGGGGCTCAACTGAACTCAGTAGCCGACCCTCTTCATGCAAAAGAACTCTGCTGTGTGGAACCAGTGTTGCAGCTCGATGATGATGGTCGTGAGCTGAACTTGGAAGAGACAAAGAGAAGAAGAGGAGAGAGACGATGAAGAAAGTGAAGATAAAACTCATCTTGGCCATCGTTGTTTTGAGGAAATTAATGCTTTTGTGAAGTGTTTATGAAATTGATTCAATCAGTGAAGGGGTTTTTATATTGAGAATTGAGGGGAAGTGGGCACTTGTATTTATCAAGAGAAGATGACATAGTCGATAATATTTTGCTGGCTACGGGTTTGAAAATGTGTTTGAAAATATGTGTACGGCAAGAATAGGACACGGTCAATTAACATCGATTACGCGGTGGATTTGTCAAGAGAAAGATACACGTGGTGGTGACAAAGTCTTGCTTTCTATACCTATACCATTTATATATACTCGACATTAGAAGCTCTGATTTGGTAAAAGTCATTCTTGTAATATATATTATAAAATCCTGTTTTAATATCATAAGTTAATATATGTATATTACATAAAATTCGATTTAAAAATTATCAATCACACTAATTAAAAGTATATGGGAAAGAGAAACACTACATAGTATATATTTCGAGTTGTGACAGGTGATCTTTTACCCCTTTTTTCTATTGGATCAGTTAAACTGTTGGATGCTTGATTGTTCACTACTATTTTGACAATGTATTAATTCAACAACTAAATTATTCGAAAATATAGTTTTGACTGACAAAGAATCTAAATATTGTAATATTATAGATAGAAGTCATATAAATTATTTCTGATAAATGGATGTGACAATCATGTATGTTTGATATATCATTTATTTTAATTTTTAAATCGTCAAACCATATTATAATGTATCGGTTATTATAACGAATTTGTATTAAAGTTGTATACATAATTATTCATATGATTAGCATTTCATCATATTGATACTGGGAAACAAAGACTAATAACACTAAATATTTTAAAAATTGAAATGTAGTCATAGACTCATAGTGAAGCCATCAAGGAAGAAGTTACACTCTTGGGTCGCGCCACCTCTGACCTGACCTCAAGAATGCTTTATTAATTAAAAAAAGAAAACATGATATAAAAAATAAACTAGAATTGGAATAATTAATATTCAATTTAAAAATTGAATGCATTTGAGGGCGTCAAAGTGTAATTTTCAACAATAAAAGGGCCTACAGTAGATTAATAATTAGTTATGTACCACTCTAAAATCCTTATTTTGGTTATATATTAATTTCATGATTGTCATAAAATACTTTTACATGGATGCACAATGTATTCATTTTAGAAACAAAATTCTAAAAACGACATTGACTTAATCAATGTTATGTGTTTGGCATAATAAATATGCAAAATTTTTTTGATGGAATTTCAGATTTCGTAAAAGCACCGATTATTTTCTAATAATAATTGATTACTGTTGGAGTCTCACATCGACTAGGCATGCTCAAGCTTATTGTGTTATAAGAGAGGGTAATCCTCCCATTTAACAAGACCTTATTGGGTGAGGAGTCAAACTCATCTTAAATTTTATTATGGTATTAGAGCCCAAGTTCAGTTGAGCTGAGCGCTTGACCAGCGGGTGAGGAGTTAGAGCCAGCAACTATCTCCAATAACAGACATGACCCAACATATGGGCTTGACTGTGGGAGAGAGTGTTGGAGTCCCACATCGACTAGGCATGCTCAAACCTATTGGGTTATAAGAGGGGGTAATCCTTCTATATAACAAGACCTTATTAGGTGAGGAGTCAAACTCACCTCAAATTTTATCAATTACTTCTTTTATTCTAATAACATAATGTGTGTATTTATATAAGAAAATTAAGTGTTAAATACAATCTCTTCCTTACTCTTTTTATCACTTTCTCATTCTTGTTGTGAAACATTTACAAGGAGACAAAGAAAATGAAAATAAAAATTATTTACTTCAAATATTTTTGTCTCTTACACACGTGCCACAATGAGCGTAAGAGCGTGTGAAAGAGAGTGAAAAGAGTGTTCAAATCACCAAGAAGAACAAATAAATAAATAAATCGA